TATATATATATATATATATATATATATATATATATAATGTGTGTCTGCATCATGTGCATTTGATGTTTACTGAAGCCAAAGGAAGGTTAACAGCTTACCTGGAGCTACGGGCGTTTGTGAGCCACCTGGTGTGGAATCAGCTTTGATCCTCCGGAAGAGCATCAAGTACTCAACCACTCAGCTGCCTTTCCAGCCCTTCAAGATAATTTCACGAGGAGCAAAGGGATATCACAGATTAGAGAGATTAGCCGAAAGCATTGACAGCAAGCTATAGAAGAGTCCTCAAGGGCCAGCTGCTACCTTGCTGAATAGGCTCGCTCGGTTGTTTCTTTTCACTGTGTCCTCCAGGCTGCCTGACCTGGGAGCTACTGGCTGAGCTGCCACCTGGCTTTCTTGACATGGGTTCCAGGGGCCAAACTGAGATCCTTAGACTCGCTCCAGCCCTTTTACCTTCCGAGCCATCTTTCCAGCCTAAAGGCTGCTTTTAAATGCTCTAATTTTGTTTGGTTGTTTAAGACAGAGGCAAAATCTGTAGTTCGCCCTGGCCTCACAGTCACAGGCATCCTCCTGCCTCACTCAGCCTCCAGAATGCTGGTGTTGTTGATGTGTGCTACGAAGCCAAGTTCTCACTGTGTGTATGTCTGTCTTTCTGTGTCTCTCTGTAACTGTGTGTGTAAGGTGGAGAGCATGTGTGTTGAGACCATTTGTAACTCAGGCTGGGTTTGAACTCCCTACCTTGAAGATCTGGGATTATAAGCATTTACCCACCATCTCCAGTTTTATGTAGTGCTGGGCATAGGATCCAGGACCTGGTGCACACAAGGCAACTAAGTCACATCCCACCCCCCCCTCTCTCTCACTCTCTTAAGCTAAACGTTAGCATATGAGGCCGTGGGTTTCACTGTGGCATTTTTACCCATGTAGATCATTTTGCTTTGTTCTAATTTGTCTCCCTTTCCACTAGGCCCACTTTGGATTTTGTCTGGGTTTGCTTTCTTGAGACAGGGTCTCATGTAGCCCAGGCTAGCCAAAAACTTTCTATGTAGATGAGCTATGGATGGTCCTCCTGCTTCAACCTCCTAAATGCTGGCATTACAGGCCAGGAGCACTGAAACTGGCCCGTTTTTATCTTTCAGAGCATTTGAAATACTCCTCTCTTCTGTTTCCTTTCTGTCCCCACCCTAATCCACCCTCAGGTCAAGTCAACTTCCCTCAACAATTGCATTTGCTTCTCTGTTTGTGGTGGCGAACATCTTTGATCCCAGCGCTAAGAGGCAGTGGATTTCTGAGTTTGAGACTATCCTGACTAGCCTGGACTACAGAGTGAGTTCCTGAATAGCCAGGCCTACACAGAGAAATCCTGTCTTGAAAAAACAAAAAGTAAGCAAGCAAGCAAGCAAAGCAAGCAAACAAACAAACCCATTTGTTCTCAGCATGCCTGTGCTTACTGATGCCACTCTGGTCCAGCCTCTTGCTTTGAGGCTACCGCCTCCCAATAGATCTTCCCGCTTCTTCTTCAGTCTCTGCCTAGCCAGATGTGGTGCTTCTTCAAAACAAATTCCTTATGGTAGTACACGGGCACTCTCACTGGGCCTGCCAAACCTTCTGGTTCTCCAGGATCTGCCCTCGGCTCACCCTGCTCAAATCAAGCTGGCCTCCTTTCCATCCCACCAATACCCCAGGCCTTGTCTTGCTGTATGAGGTCATCCCTTGAAACCCACTGGAGAATGGCTCCAGCCATCCTCCATGTTGGTACCGGCCCCTGGAGATGCAAATGCTCACGTCCCTGGACACATGTACTTTAAATAGGTCTAGCTCATATTCAATGCTATGTAAACAGTTGCTAAACTATTTCTTAGAGAAGAATAAATAAAAAAAAAGAGTCTATATCTGTTCACCAGAGTTACCGTTCTTTTTCTGAGATATTTTCAAACTGCCGTCTGTTAAATTAGTTTGTATTTGTTGCTCTACCCAGAACACTTTTCCCAAGAAACCTACCTCCTTAACATTTGGATCTCAGGTCTAAGGCTTCCTGCAGAGGGATGCCCTGATTGTTCAGTTCCTGAACCCCACGCACTGTCATACCTAACTTGCCCTGTGACACTTGAAGTCATCTTGTTCACTTGTTTAGTTTGTCTTCTGTCCCATCTAGCTCTAAAGTATGAATTCCATGATAGCATTGTCCTCCTCTTTCTTTTTTCTCTTTCTTTCTTTCCTTCTGTCTGTCTGTCTGTCTTTCCTCCTCCTCCTCTTTTGAGACAGGATCTCATGTAACCCAGGTTGTCCTTGAACTCTTGAACTCCTCCTGATCCTCTTGCCTCTACCTTTCAAGGGCCAGAGGACAGGTTTGTGCCACAATGCCTAGTTTATGTGGTGCTGGGCTTAGTGCATGCTGGGCAAGCACTCTGCAGCTGAGTTATAACCCAGTCCCTTCCTGATTTTTTTTTTTTAAAGACAGGGTTTCTCTATATAGTCCTGGCTGTCCTATAACTTGCTCTGTAGACCAGTCTATAGACCAGGCCTTGAACTCAGAAATTGGCCTGCCTCTGCCTCCCAAGTGCTGAGACTAAAGGAATGTGCTACCACCACTTGGCTTCCCTTTTACTATATCTTTAATGCCAGGAATTTGAGAGTTGGGCTTGACACCCACCTTCAATTGCAGCAGCCTAGAAGGCTGAGGCACAAGAGCAGTACACAGTCAAGGCTGGCCTGGCCTCATGAGCGAAGTGGTGGCACAGCTTTAATCCCAGCACTCAGGAGGCAGAGGCAGAGAGTACCTCTGTGAGTTTGAGGCCAGCCTCGTCTACAGAGTTCCAAGATGGCCAAAACTACACACAGAGAAACCCTGTCTCAAAAATCAAACTAAATTTGAAGTGGTGATGAGGGCTTTTAATCCCAGCCCTGGAGGGTGAGAATGGGGGAGATACAGGCAGAGGCAGGCAGATCTCGTGAGTTCGAGGCCAGCCAAGGCTGTGTAGACAAAACTATCTCAAAAAATTTTAAATAAGGTAGAGCATAGTGAGTTACTCCTGTAATCCCGGCACTCAGGAGGCTGAGGTAGCAACGTCTCTGTGAGTTCAAGGCCAGCCTGGGTTACAGGTCAGTCTATGCCACTGTAGAGGGGATCAGTCCTGCCCTCTGCCCCACCTGTGCTTCCCATAAGCCTGGAAGTTCCTAACATGTAACAGCCAGGGGTAGGCTGGGACAGTAGGATCAGCTTCCTCCTCTATTATAGCCTTAGGTTCTCTCTAGTGGTCATCACTGACCTGTTGATCTCAGAATTCCTTCCTTCCCTCTCAGAGACCACCTCCCCTTCTAAAGCCTATAAACCTAGGGAATTGCCTTTGTTCTGCCCGTTGCTGCTGACCACCACCATATCCCAGCTTATCCTGCTGGGATTGGCTCCCATTATTAAAGGGCCTGGACACATGAAACCTGCCTCAGTACATCTCTCTACCACAGCTGGAGAGGATCGTTACTATTTAAAACAAATAAATAACACTGTTACTAACAATAGGGAAATAGAAACATAGCTCAGTGGTACAGCGCTTGCCTGGAAAGTTCAAGGTTCTGGGTTTGAGCTCTAGTACTGGGAGGAGAAAGAAAAAAGAAAAGAATGAATGAACAAAAGAAAGAAAGGGAAAAAAAGGAAGAAAGAAAGAAAAAAGGAAGAAAGAAAGAAAAAAAGAAAAGAAAGAAAGAAAGAGAAGCTATTTGCCTGTTGACTCAGTCCAAAGAGCAGATCAAATGTCTCTTTAGAGGATGATCCTTTACACTCCCTAACAAAATTAATGTTTCTCTCCCCAGTGCCCTGAATAGCACCTTATTCATGGCTCCATTACATCACCCAGGCCTCTACACTCCCTAGGAAAAATTAGCAGCTCTCTGGCCTCTCTGCCAGGCCCCGCTGGCAAGATCGTATCAGATCAGCAGTGCGCTTTCGGCACCTGGCACCTGGTCGCCCCTCCCGACAGGCTCCGGGGCTGAGCTGGGTCCAGCGGGAACCAGGCAGGAACGGATAGGGTCTGCTCTCAGTGCGCTGATCTGAGGATAGCAGCCCTGCTTTCAAGTACGGACACGCCGAACCTGAAACTTCAGGATGTTCTATAATAAAAGGGGCAGGCTGCATTAAAGAAAAAAAATCCCAGTACACCGGAAACTTCCTGAAGGCTGAGGGCTGCATGCTCTCACACTGCCATCCCACCCATCCAGCTCTGGCCTTGTGGGGAGGGGGAGGGGCTCGTCACAGGTGACTGCGCCGCGCTCTCCCCCACACCCATCAGTAAAGTCCCGTGGCATTACATCACAGGGGAGGGCCTGGTGCCATCTTCCTGTGTGGACAGACGTTGCAACTGTGCTTTGTTTCTTGGCGTACAATGACTGCTTTCTCCCTGCTCTGGCCAGGTCACTGGTTTCGGTCATGAATGTAGCTGACACTGTGCCGTGCCGACTGTTTTTAAAGTACCTTGGGCCTTTCTGCACTTGAAGTTGTTTTAACAAAATAGCTGCTTCCATCTAGCCAGGGCACCTCACACACAGAGCAGTGTCTGTTCCATTCTTAAGGCAACCTGCAAGGTAGATATTTTCTTCCTTAAAAAAAAAAAAAAAGAAAAAAGAAAAAAGGTGGGCCTGGAAAGGGGATGTCTCAGTGGTTAAGAGCACTTGCTGCTCTTCTACTCCAGCCCTCTCTTGAGCTCCACGGGAATGCACACACACACACACACACACACACACACACACACACACACACACACACACACGTAAATAATAATAAGAAAACGAGCCTGGTGGTATATGCCTTTAGTCCCAGCATTTCCAGAGGCAGAGGCAGTTGGATCTCTGTGAGTTCAAGGCCAGCCTGGTCTACAAAGCAAGTTCTAGGACAGCCAAGGCTACACAGAGAAACTCTGCCATGAAAAACAAACAAAACTGGACACGGTGGAGCACGCCTGTAATTCCAGCACTGGAGAGGCAGAGGCAGGCAGGCTGTCATGTATTCAAGGCCAGCCTGGTCTACAAAGCGAGTCCAGGACAGCCAAGGCCACACAGAGAAACCCTGTCTTAAAAAGAAAGAGAAAGAAAGAAAGAATCCAACAACAAACCCAACAAATTAAAAAAAAAAAAAAAAAAAAAAAAAAGGCTGGCTAGGGATATGGCTCAGTGATTGGTGACAGAATGCTTGTCTAGCATGTATGAGGAACTCGGTTCAATTTCCAGTGCTGAAAAAGTAAAACACAATAAAACGGTCTGGAGGCTGGAGAAATAGCTCAGAAGTCAGAAGATTTTGGTCTTGCAGAGCATGTCTATTCAGTTCCCAGAGCACACTTGGTGACCCTCAACCATCCGTAACTCCAGTTCCAGGAGACCCAACGCCCTCCTCTGACCTCTGCAGGCACACGGTGCACAGACATACATTCAGGCAAAACACTCTTACACATAGAATGAGAAAAAACAAGCCAGGCACACACCTGCAATCCCAGCACTCAGGAAGGCAGATGGAGGCGGATCACGGATCACTGTGAGTTTGAATCCAGCCTGATCTACAAAGTGAGTCCAGGACAGCCAAGGCTACACAGAGAAACCCTGTCTCGAAAAACCAAAAAAAGAAAAGAAAGAAAGAAAGACTGGGTGCCGTGGTCCAGGTCTACAGTGCAGCTCTGGGAAAGCTGTGACTGAAGAGTTGTCATGAGTGCGAGGGCAGTCTGGGGAGGAGAATGAGCTCCAGGCTCACACGGGCTACACTGTGAGACCCTTCCTCCAGCCCTTTAAAAAATGTTTATTTATTCTTGTTTTATGTGCATTGGTGTTTTGCCTGCATGTGTGCCAGTGTGGTATATGCTCTCCTGGCGTGCAAGCACACATCCAGATAGAGCACCCAGACACAAAATAAATAAGATCTTCACAACACAACACCGCACAGATTCTTTTCCGATCTTTCAAGGTGACACTCCTTAGCCAGGCTCATCCTTCTGCCCCATCCTTTCTGTTCTTATAGTGGCTGTGCAGGGACTCCTCGAAGGTTCACTCACACCTCATCACACCACACCACACCACACCACACCACACCACACCACACCACACCACACCACACCACACCACACCACTCCACACCAGCAGCTTTCCATTGGTCTGCTGTGGATATAAACATGTTTTTGTTTTGGTCCCAGGTGTGGGATGTGGGACTGATTCTGGTGGTCCACAGCAGCAAACTATTTTTTTTGGACTGCCCCAAACCGAGGGGCTTCAACAACGGGGTTCCTAAGGTGGAGAGATTGGAAGGAATGGGGGGAAAAAAGGAACAAGAGACGCAAGAATGAAAGCCAAGTCTGTTCATCTGATCAAGGCTTCCGTTTATTAGAAATTTTTACCCAACTTATATAGGGAGAAGGCAGGAAAGGGAGAAGGTTAATTTACTGCTGCAGGAAATAGGAAGAGTGCTTTCATGGGTTAACTATTGTACCTGCAAGGTACCATAAGGATGTTTTCTTAAGATAGCTTACGGATGCTCTAACAAAGATGTCCTCACAATCTACCACCCATGATTTAGGGTCTTAGATACCTCTTTCACTAAATGGCTTTAGGTCTCCACTAACTGACCTTTGCTCTCTCCTTGGCTTTGGCTTCAGTAACTACCTTTGTCTCCACTAGATAGCTTTGGCTCACTAATTGACTTTGGCTTCCGTAGATACCTTTGTCTCCACTAGATAGCTTTGGCTTTGGCTTCCGTAGATAGCTTTGGCTCCCGGTATTGGACCATCAGCAGACTGTTTGCTTCATGCGGGCTCTGAGAGGAGCTCTTTGCCAGCGACAGGTAGTTTAGATCTGAGGGCTCTGGAGGGAGAATAAATGCCAGAGCCCAGAGAGCGGAGACTGGAGAAAGAACAAGACTGCTCCTGCTTCCCCCTTGCTGCTCCTGGTTGCTGTTGTGAGACAAGAAGTTGGAGGTCTCCTGAAATGAGGAAGGAACCTGATGAGGACCCTAACCAGCAGGAAGCAGCTAAGAGAACTGCGCCCCTCTCCCACTAATCCTTTCTCTTTCTCATACCTGGTGTTGGGGTGCTGGAAGGGATTGGGGTGGAGTAGGGAGAAAAATATGAGAAACGTAAATAAAAGAGTTTTTAAGAAAGCATGCTGACATTGGTCAGTTTTCAAATGTCTCAAAGATCACTTTGTAGTGTTTGTTTGTTTGTTTGTTTGTTTTGTTTTGTTTCAAGACAGGGTTTCTCTGTGTAGCTTTGGCTGTCCTGGAACCCACAGAGATCGGCCTGCCTCTGCCTCCCTAAGTGCTGGGATTACAGGCGTGTGCCACTATGCCTGGCTTTGGCAGTTGTTGTTTGTTTGTTGTTTGTTTTACTTAATATAAATGTGAATGCTGACAATCAAATCTGGGGCCTGTAACATGTAAGACGAGCTCTCTGCCACTGTGCCCTGCTCCCAGCCCAATATCTCAGACTCCCTCGAAGTTCATTCCTGGGTCTTAAGAGGAAGCCACTTAGAGGAAGAGTAACTTAGTTTCTCCTGATCCCGTCAACCAGAATCGCTGTTTTAGCTCTGCTGCCTCTGAGGTCCTCTGCTCTGGTTTTGTTTTTAATGAGTCAGGACCTCATGTAGCCCAGGCTGGACTCACACTCACTGTGTAGCTGAGTGCAACTGTGAATTCCAGGTCCCCTTTCCTGCCTCTCCCCAAGTCCTGGGACTCTGTGGCTCTGTGGCTCTGAGCTGTTTCTTGTAATACTAGGAACCAGCGCTGACTCAGGACCCCTCGGACGTCGCTCTGTGGCCCTGCGTCATAGTTGTGTGCTCCAGGTAAAAATCCCTCCGGTCGGTCACAACAAGTAGAACAGGAATGGGATGGGCGGCAGCTGGACATTCGCTGAGCGCTTAGCCTGGCAGCAAACAGGCAGCTGGAAACTGGAGAGCTCACGCAACCAGTTAGTGCTCAGGGTTTCATTTTCAGAAAAGAACAATTGCAGAACAATTGATTCTATTGTATCCAAAGCTGTCCAGTGCGGTATGCTCTGAGTGATTCCATTGCGCTGTTCGCCGTCTGAGGCACACACCCGTTAGTTACGGGGACTGGGAATTCTACACTGGGGATTCTACACAGGCACATCACTGTTTCCTTTCCGTACACGGCACATCACCGTGCACTGTGTCCTGTAATAACGTTTTAAAAACCACTCCCACACACGTACGCACATTTTTCTTTTAGTGGAGCTCAGAGGACAGCTTGAGGGAGTCGGTTCTCTCCCTCCACTATGTGTTCGATCCTGGGGATCGAACTCAGGACATCGAACTCAGGACATCGGGTTTGGTGGCAAGAGGACTATACTCACTAAGCCATCTCGCCAGCCCCACACTACAGCAATCCTTTCTTACTAAGTTAAACTCCACAAAATAGACATCAATTTAGCAAGCCTGCCATTTTTAAAATTACGTATGTGTGTAAACATGGACCTATACATGCATCTACGGAGGACGGAAGTTCCCCTAGACCCGGAGTTCCATGGGTTCCTGGACAGCCTGAGGTTGGTTCTTTGGACCAGTCTCCATCTGGTCCCCCGCAAGAGCAGTTCGCACTCCTGACTGCTGACTCCCTAGGTAGACTAAGCTGGCCTTGAACTCACAGAGATGTTATCTGCCGCTCCCTCTCATTTGGGATTCGAAGGCATCTGTGACCACACCTGGCCTGCCCTGTTTGGTTGGTTGGTGTTTGGTTGGTGTTTTGTTTTGTTTTGTTTTGTTTTGTTTTGTTTTGTTTTGTTTTGTTTTTTTGAGACAGGGTTTCTCCATGTAGTCTTGGCTGTCCTAGAACTCTGTAGACCAGGCTGGCCTTGAACTCTCAGAGATCGGCCTGACAATGTCCTAAATGCTGGGATTAATGCTGGGTAGTGTACACCTCTACCACCTGGGTTTTTCTGTTTGTTTGTTTGTTTGTTTGTTGTTTTTAAAGATAGAGTTTTTTGTAGCCCAGGCTGACTCAAAACTCATTATGTCTCTGGGAAAGACCTTGCACTTTATTTTCGTCCTAGGTGTGTGTGTATGTGACTGTCGGTGTTCTTGCGCGTGCACACACCTGTGGAAGCCAGTGTTAGATGCGAGGTGTCTCCTGACCCTCCCCACCTTATGTATTAGGCAGGAGCTCTCACTTGACCCCAGCTTGCTCTGGGAGCCCCCGTTTCTGCACAGGGAATACAGACAGGCACCTGTGCCTCCCTGCCTCTTGGCTGGCACTGGGTACCAGACTCTAGTCTCTTGCATCGCAAATACTTACCTACTAAAGCCATCTCCCTAGTTCCCACCTTAAAGCTTTTGGGGTTTGTTTGTTCTGTTTAGATTTTTGTTTCGAGATAGCCCTATTTGTACAGCCCCGGCTATGCTGGAACTCATTATGTGCTGGGACTCACAGAGATCTGCCTACTGAGTGCCAGAATTAAAGGTGTGTACCACCATGGCTGGGCCACTTTAGGTTCTGGTCCTCCTGCCCCTTCTTCCCCACCGCTGGATTTACAGAGGTGTGTTAGCCCCCAAGCTATGGCACCTTTTGTTTTTTAATAGTGTTAATTCATTAGCCTGTATGTTGATTGATGATTTGGCTAGCTAGACACGGGCCCGCCCGGCTTCCTAACAAAGGCTCATTATTCTATACAGCTAAGGTAAGATGATACACTGAGTTGAATTTACAAAGGCAAGAGTAGCTTCTGGGATGCTGGCATGCTACCTGAGTACAGAGTGGTAAAAAATTCTGTAGCCAACTGCCCATCCATTAGGCTGCATCAGCTGGGTTTCCCCCTCTTCAAATAACACAAAGTGGATCCATTTCCATCCACCAAAGACAATCGCATCTGAGGCCTAGCAACCTGACTATCCAGACTTTTATTTCAGTCTCAGCTGATGGCAGTATTCCAATTCCAGCATTTTCTTGGGGGTGAAGAACAACCTTTATTGGCCAGGGATGGGAACACATGCCTTTAATCCCAACACTCTGAAGTGTTGGGATTAAACACATGCAGATGAATCCCCAGGGGTTCAAGGCCAGCCTGTCTACACGGAATTTACTATTGAGATAGAGGCTGTGTAGCTCTTTGCTAGCTAGAATGTATCGTGTGATCCAGACTGGTCTTGAACTCACAGGGCTCTGCCTGCCTCTGCCTCCAGATTAGAGGTGTGTAGCAGCAGGTCTAGAATACTGTTTGTTCTTTGAGTGAGAGTCTCACTATATAGGTCTTGCTGGCTTGGAACTCACAGAGATCTGCCTGCTTCTGCCTCCCAGGTCTGGGAGCCCAGGCATTTGCCATCCAGCCTGGCCTAGCTCATATAGCAGAATCACCTGGAGATATTTAGAAACATACCAAGGCAATTCTGATTTCATTGTTCTGAGGTGGAGCCTAGCAGACGTAAGTGGCTTTAAAAGCTCCCGGGTGGGGGCATCAAGATGGGGGAGGGTGCTTGTTGCCAAGCCTAATAGCCTGAGTTTGGTTCCCAGGACCCCACATGATAGAAGGAAAGAACCCACTCCCATAAGTTGTCCTCTGACCTCCATGTGTGCTGTGGTACACACACTAAACAAAACAAAAGAATAATGTATAAAAATTTTAAAATAAGAACAAAAAAATCTACATAGATGTTAGGTACAGCCATTGGTGAGGCTATGGACTTGGCATCTTTTCATTTTGCTACTCTACCTGCTCCTCATACTGAGATTTGGACAGTCTCCAATATACTAGGCAAGTAGTGTGCAAGAGAGTGTTCTCTCTCTCTCTCTCTCTCTCTCTCTCTCT